CCAAAATTCCTCCCCCCCCCCCCCCCCCCCAAGAAAACCAAAGTATACAGCCTTTTCCCAGCCAGCCTGGGCCAGAGGTCTTTCAGTCAGAGAATGGAAAAAGAAAGGACGTTGCCCAGCATTGGGTGTGTGGTTTTGGTCTGTGTGTGACTGTCATGGTTTGTTCTCAATGGATGGCCCCTGTGTGTTACTAGATGGCTTCTTATCTGCAGCTGCTGTTTTGTAAGGTGGAGCTGATGCAAGGTCTGTCAGAGCTGAACGCTGCAGGCTTTCGGGGAGACTCCAGATAGACTGTAATGTTAATCTAGTCTGGCCTCCCGCAAAACCCAGGCAAAAACACTCACCCTGAAATGTGGGCATCATGCCCCGGTCTTCTGGTTGCGCTCTAGCGCATCTTGTGGAAACATATCTCGTTTTGAATGAAAGATGTCACACGATGGGGAAAGCCCGGGTAAGTTGGTCCATGGTTAATGAGTCTCTTGTTAAAAACCATTGTGCCTTATCTCGAGGATGGAGTTTGGCAGGCCTTTCTGTGCAAGATTAAACATCAGTCTGCCAGAAATCTCTTCCTGTGCCGATACTTGTCAACCCTGAACCAGTCCTCTTTTAATTCTCTCTTGGGTCAACACGATAGATGGAGCTGCCGTAGCCTCACTCTATAAGGCAGAGTTTCTCGACCTCGGCTCATTCTTGTAGCCCTTCTCTGAATGCTTCCTGGTTTTTCAACAGCCCCTTTACAGTGTGGACTCAAGAATGGGCATAGACTGAAGGGAGTGGTCTTGCTAGTGCTGAGTACAGAGGCGATGTCCCCTCCCTGTTTCTATTCAGTATCCCCTGGCTTATATATTCAGCAATCTCTTGCAACCTCTTAGCCATAGCCTCATGCTGTGAGCTCATGTTCAAATGGTTATTTACCTTGGCCCCAGGTCATTCAGGCTGTGTCTAGACTGCAAATAAAAGTAGAAAAAAGATACACAAATTGGCAACCACAATTTGCATATCTTTTTCCACTTTTTCTTCGGAAGAGTCTACCTCGGGCCAAATTTTGGAAAAACCTTCTCCTTCGGAATATCCCTTCTTCCTCATACAATGAGGAATACAGGGATACGGAACGAATGCATCCGCTTTTTCGGAAACCGTTCTGAAAAAGCGGATATGTTCCTTGGACCCGGCAGAGCTTTTCTGGGATAGCCTCCGGTATCCTGGAAAAGCTTTGCAGTGTACACATAGCCTTAGTGTCACTGCATTCCAGGGTATGGCATTTCCATCACTGGAGATATTTAAGAGCAGGTTAGACAGATGCCTGTCAGGAGGATCTAGACGGGGCTTGGTCCTACCATGAGGGCAGGGGGCTGGACTTGATCTCTTGAGTTCCCTTCCAGTTCCAGTGTTCTGTGATCCTATGATTCTGTACAGCCCCTTAGCTTGGAAATGTGGCCTTCATTCTTTGTTCCTAGTTGTATGGCCCTGGTTTTGGCTGTACTTATGAAACATGTTCAAATGACCCTCACTTGCCAGACTGCTCTGAATAACTGACCAGTCCCCATCATAATTTAGCGCACTACCAATCTGTGTGCCATCAGCACATTTTACTACCAGTGATTTTATATTTTCTTCCAGTTCACAAATAAATAGAGGCCTGCACGGATACGAAGTTTGTATCCGCATCTCTATCCGCAAAATGGGCCCCGGCTACCCGCATTGACATCCATGGATGCAGATACCTGTGGATGAAAAGCAGCTTTTCGTGGATTTGCAGGGTTCTACATACACAATTTGTATCCATGTCCATACCCACAACCATGAGTCGAGGCTCTCTGAGGATTTGCAGGACTCTACCAATGAAGATATTGAACTTAATTGGGCCAAGAACAGACTGCTGAAGGACCCCGGCAGAATCACCCCCATTCATGTCTGACTCCCCGTTTAAAATTCGTTTTGGGATCTGTTAGTTAACCAGTTTTTAATGCATTAAATTCAGGCTGCATTGTCATCCATCTGAATTAAACACCACCCAGACGTGTAAATCTGTTATATCAACCGAGTTCCCTTCACAAGCCATAACAAGTGATAACCAGTTTGACACGTCTTGTTTCCATTCCACGATGTGGATTGCCATTGATTTTATTGCCATTGCTTAATTCTTTACCAGTTTGTCCCATATCAGTTTCTCCATGATTTTGCTGAGCATTAGTGCCTGACTAGCTGGCCTGTAGTTACCTGTAGGCGCCTCTTTACCACTTTAAAATTTTAACACCACATTTGCTTTTCTCCCAGTCCTCTGGAACCTCCCGGGAGCTCCAAGATTTGTTAAAAATCCCTGTTTCAAGGACTCCTCAGTCAATTTGTTTGCTACTACTAAGTGCTACTTCTCTGGTCCTGCTGATTTAAAAAAAAATAATTAACACCCTCAACACTTTCACATCCTCCCTAGTTACTGATGGAACAGCGGGAACACAATGCCTCCCGGTGGTGTCTGAATTCACCAGGCCGCTTCTTTCCAAATAGAGAACAGAAATATTGATTGAATTACTTCTGCTTTTTCTGCAGCATGCAAGACAATTTTACAATCCTTATCTAGTAACAGCCCTGTTCTATTGCAAGGGTTTTGTTGATTCCTGAAATATACAAAGAATTCCTTCTTAACTTTAACCCACCTGGCTGTAGCATGGCATTGATGCTTTCCGTATCTTTTATTAATTGGCTTTGCCAATTTGCTTTAGCTCTTTCTTTCTTGTGCTGTGTTTCTTAATATGAAATAAGTGAATGACTTTGAAATTAAGCAGTTGCTCTTTGTGCTGGAAACACAGCACCCGGTAGCCTTCCTGGTCCTGATGCTATGATGACAGATAATTTTCCTACTGTGTTTTATTGTCCAGTTCTAAGATTGCAAGCTTTTGCGCCATAGTGAGTGACTAATTGCTCCTAATGTTTCACCTTCCCCTACCCAAAAAAGATCGGACTAAAAAGTTAAGATTTGTAAAGTTAGAAAAAAGCAGTCTCATGAATGACACCTGCTCGGCATGTCTGCAGCGGGGTATGCTCATGGTGGGGAGTGGATGAGCAAGAGTCCCAGGCTGGTCAAGGAAAAGCTTCTCTGAGGTTTACTTGCAGGTGTTCCAGAGCAATCCAATTGAAACAATCGGTAGGGTCTCTGGTTGCCTTCCCTCAGTGCAGCTTAAGAGTTTTTACACCCAAAACAAAATTAAACAGAGGCAGTCCCCCTTTCCGGACTCCTAGAAGGAAAACCCCCAGCTGTTCCCATCAGGGTCAGAAAATTATTTGCTTCTGGGAGCCCTACCCAAGAGGGGGCCTCAAACACCGATTTAGGAACCAGTACTGGGAAATAGCATGGCAAGACCCACTCCTGGGGGCGCCCCTTGCAAAGGAGCATCTCAGCACAATGCCCTCCTGCTCTCTTAGGATACATCCACACAGCAGTGTTATTTCAGAATCACTGAGGTTATTGCAGAATAAGAGACCACGTCTACACTACGAGCAGTTATTTCGACATAACATCCAAATAATGTCGAGCTGGAGGACTTCTTCCTCCGACTCCTGTGACCCTCATTTTACGAGGAGTAAGGGAGGTGTTCCACCTCGGACCAGTTGCTGTGTAGACAGCGTCAAAAGCCAAAAAAAGCTATTTTGACTTAAGCTGCACAGTTGACATAGCTGAAGTTGCGTAGCTCAATTCGGCTTTAGTCCTGCAGTGTAGACGTGTCCCTAGGGACCACCCAGAGCAAAATCAAACTCTCTGGACAGGAGGGAAGTTCACGCACGGCTCTAGATCGTGGGTTAGCAATCTAAGGAGGAAAGCTGGGTTGTGGTGAAAGCTCTAGGCTGGAAATCAGAAGGTCCAGATTCAGTTCTCAGCTCAGCCACAAGGCCCTATGATCTGGGCACGTTCCGTTACTTGTAATGGGAATAACAAAGCTGC